CGTTATAATGTGACGGTCAATCCCACTATTCGTTGGTAAAAGAGTAGCCCAAGAGTTGGCAGTGGGTGGTGATGACTAGCTGCCTTCCCTCTAGTCTTACACTGCTAAATTAGGGACGGCTAGCGCAGATAGCCCTCGTGTAGCTTTGCGCGAAATTCCAAAACAAACAAAATTTGTTGTACAAAACTTGAAGATGGCTTTTATATACGGAAACATCTGTTAGTTGAGTTCTTGCACAGATCTTAAAATATAACGTTGTTAAATCGGCACATGTAGATCTTGAAAGTCGGGTTGTTTAAAACTTGAAAATAGCATTGATAACTGGACCAATTGTTGGTTGAGATGTTGCAAAAGAAATCTCTGTTTAAGCTTTGCCATACACTAATCATAGCAGAACCGTCTGGAAAATGATCTATAGGAAATAGTACAGCTTATAAAATGAGTCAGATCAACGTAGGCCGGGAAGGCAATCACTGATTGGCATGTCCTTTAGCCAATCAGGAAATGTCACAGACCTACTGAAGGATGTGTAGATTGTATAGGAGTTCTTTTTGGCGGCAAATTTTATGCGTTCTAATAAAGGTGGCTTCCAAAACATAGAGATGAAAGGTCGACCGACCATTTGCAATAATTTCAAACCTGCTATCCGTGTAGTTGTCAGGTTCACTAGTAAATGCTGGCCAATCGCTGATTCACATTTTGGTGGTAGAACATTTGTTTTACAGGAGCGACATGGTAAATTCCTTTCTTTCACACTATTAGTCCTAATGGATGTGGGTACATGTTGTTTAATTCTATCCTGCAATATTTGTGAAGTGCGACCTACGTACCGACATTCGCAGTGGCACGAGAATTCATAAATAATCACACTTTTCTGTGTGGTAGGTATCACATCTTTGTGTGTTGCAGGCAACAACTTACGTGTGGAATAAGCACAGTAGGGGTTCACTGCAGGAAAACATTTAGTAATGGCCGTTTTCAATTGTTTTTCAAATTTTGTTGAAATGTTACCAATCCATGGTAGTGTTAGGTAAACAGGACACTTGTTAGGACCAAATTTTGGGTCACTTGAGAAGCTCGCAATTTTCCTTGAAGTAATGTAAACTAGATTTCGAATTGAATACAATTAAAACTACTTTACTAGAAAATGGGTATCCAGAAAACGTCATCAATCAAATTACTTTTTATGCAAACGTAAGTAGTATTAGTGAACAAAATTTTTATTATTATTTTCACTTATTCATAAAAATGAACCATTAAATAGCATAGTTGTAACATTACATCTTGCTAATGAATTTAAACGTAGTGATTTAGTTTACCCGATATTATTTTACGTATTGATATTGCTTTGAATTTATCCAAATAATTATCCCTTCATTCAGCATCAACAAAATTGGTAACAACTGATGGATGAGGATTTATCTTCTCTTGTAAGAGTGGGAGTAATTCTTCTGTGTTTCTGTAAAAAAATATATATATATATAAAAGAAATTTCCCTGCCATTTTCTTTGTCATGTTATCTCTATTTCTGATACGAGGATTGTCCGAAATGTTCGTGACCTATAAAGAAAAGAGTCACTAGTTCCACTGTGATTTATTTTTCAACATAAATCTCCTTCTCGGTCTATACACTTGCGCCACCTTAAGGCCTTTATGGCCTTCCAAACAAACTCTTTTTATTAATCCTCAATCCATGATTGGGCGGTTTGTACTAGATCATCATCATTCAGAAATCTTTGATCTTTCAGTAAATTATTAAGGTTAGGGAGGAGAAAAAAGCCAATTGGAGCTAAATCCGATAAGTAAGGGTGGTTAGTGAGTAATTCGAAGCCAACATCTTGGACAGTGTTCAAAGCAACACGAGATTTGTGAACTGGGGCATTGTCCTGGTGGAAGACCACACCTATTGTTCTGATGGAAAACCACACCTATTGCCCTGATGGAAGACCACACCTATTGTTCTGATGGAAGATCACACCTACTGTTCTGATGGAAGACCACTCGTATTGTACTGATGGAAGACCACATCTATTGTCCTGATGGAAGACCACATCTATTGTCCTGATGGAAGACCACACCTATTGTCCTGATGGAAGATCACAACTATTGTCCTGATGGAAGACCACAACTATTGTCCTCATGGAAGATCACACCTACTGTTCTGATGGAAGACCACAACTATTGTCCTGATGGAAGATCACACCTTGTTTGAGCAACCCTCTTCTCTATTCTTTGATTTCCTTAAGCAAATTGTTGATTAAGGATGCATAGTAATATCCTGTAACGGTTTAATCCCTTTCTAAGTAATAAACTTGTAAAACGCCTTTGGCATCCCCCAAAAATTAATGCCATGACCTTCCCAACAGAGGGTTGTGACTTGAACTTCTTTGGGGTGGGTGAACTTGCATATTTCCATCGCAAATTTGCATTTTTCTCTCTATGTCGAAGTGGTGAAACTACA